ATGGCTTGCCGGAAGGAAACAGCAACCGAGACCTAGTATGGTGGACTGGAGGTGAGAATGCTGTAGGAGATAGAGAATTCTCAGGGGAATAAGTGGTCGGAGACTGTGAGGAAGCACTAACAGGGATTGGAGCCGCTGGGAGAATTAGGGGTCGTGGGAGGGGAAGACGATCACATGGCGGGAGGTAACGGCAAGGAACGATTTTGGGGGTAGGCAGGTGGCAGCCGGTAAAAAACCGGGGGTACTTCATCGAGTGGATCATGAGGGCAGGAGGGGAGAGTTTGCAGTGCAGCAGAGTTAGCTAAAAGTATCTGGGTGGGGGTACAAGATTTAATGAGAGACGGGCATGTTCTCAGAACAAGGAAAGCCTTTACATAAGGGATCTCTGTTAACTTGTCACCAGACTAACAGAAATCATACAGATTTTTCAGAATACAGGGGTCAAACGTCCTCTCTCTGGGCCAAGAGCTGCTGATAAGTGGGTGGGATTTAATCTTAAGAGTACATAGATTGGAAATTAGACATTGTAGAAGCGTCTTTGGGGAATTAGAAAAAATGTTTCCCATGACTAATTCAGGCAAGAAATGAGCCATGGTCCAGAGGGTGAGCTGTCACTCGTCTCGTGGCACCAAACAGCGGTTAGGGTCCAAAACTCATATATCCCAGTCGTCACTGAGAGATTTACGAGTGGAGTCCATGTGGGGTCAGTAACAGTTCTGTCCATGACAGTGTGAAGCTCTGAGGGATGTGAGGGTCTCACAGTGTGGGTGGTCCAGAAAACTCTGCCTTGGGCTATCCGAACCCAAAGGACATGAGAGATTTTCGAGTGTGGACGCAGGTTGCCCAGAAAGACCCTGCCCCGGGCTGTCTTAAGGATGTGAGTGTCATGAACCCACGCGAAGGGGGAGAAAACTCACCTGGGGCCGAGCCCAGCACCAAGAATTCTCCAGAGTTTGCTCACCTGAGATTAATCGGGCCGGTGTTGTGTGCGAGCAGTTGGCGACAAGTCAAGGAGGTTCTGGGACAGGAAAAGCAGGAGAAGTAATCCAGGATGTAATCTGGTTTGTGAATCAGCTGGGGACTCAACTGGATGTGTCCCAGGAGTCAATTGCCTGCCAATCATGGCACCAAATGATAAGATTATATCCAAAAGAGGCCTTTATTCTGAGAACACGGAGAGAGAAAACCAAAACCCCTGACCGCTGGAGTCTGGCTTTCTCTCTGGCGGACATGTGGCATGGGGGGTATGTAAGTAGCCTTGGTTTGGGGTGGAACCTAAAGGGGCATCAGGGATGCACTGGTAGCCCATTGGTCTTGGTTTGGTGCCATACGTAAATTCCTAAGGGGGCGGGGAAGATGGAGTCACAGGTAAATTCCTAGGGGTGGGGGAGATAGGAGCTCCTTGGTTCTACCTCTAAGGCTTCACCAGCTACAGTGTCCTGTCTGAGCCCAAACCCTTTCACCTCTCATGTGGGAGGTGCTGGGAACCCTATACCCTTTCCCAATGTCTTTCTCATACACCACACTTAATATAAGATTTCATTGTGAGAGGCTGGTTATGGTGGGCAACACATGCCTGTATTTCTAGCACTCTGGGAGGCTGAGGCAGGAATATCACAAATTCAGGCTCAGCCTAGGCAACTTAATGATTTAATGAGACCTTATCTCAACACAAAAAAAACCCCAAAGACTTTATTGTGAGATGTCTGGAACTTAAGAATACTACATCAACCAATATGATTTTACTGTTTGTTCCAGCATATGCTCTAGATATGTTGTAAATCAGTACATACCTTCAACATGAGCATTAGAAACTTTTATATATATTTTTTTTTTATTATGGAGAAAAAGAAAAAAACAGAAATAGGGTACAAGTTATACAGAATTTCAGAAAAAATAATAGGAAATCACTAGTTAATAGATTACATATTGTTATCTTAGAAATAGTTGTTCAAGTTACAAAATTAAAGCATATAAAGTGGACTTTCAAACAGTGAGACTGGAAACAGTTTTGTTCAATGATCCAACAAAACTCAGTAATATGGTTATCTATCTTATACACTTAAATATATAGAGCATTAGAAACTTTTAAAAATCCACTTATCTGCCAGGGATTTAGCTCAGTGGCATAAGTGCCTACTTGGAAAGCATGATGTTGTGAGTTCAACCCCTGGTATCAAAAAAAAATCCACTTATCTGAATAATGAGGTGTTCATCTGGCTATAAAGCCTCCTCCTTAGGCACCAAGAGGTTGAGTTGAGCAGTGAATTGGACAATCCTTTTCCTTTTCAAAAAGTGCCAGGGTTGGGAGTACAGCTCAGTGGCAGAGTACTTGCCTAATATGCACAACGCCCTCAGTTCAAATCCCAAAAACAAAACAAAACAAAATAAAAACTGGGGAAGCCAAATCTGATTCCATTTTACCTTGCTGTGGGCCCCAGTGCCAGACAAGTATACCATGAATTATGTCAAATACCAGTGAGATCCACTGAAAAGATTACTTTAAACCACTTGAACTAATACCCTATAAAAATCATCCTTTGCTTCTTCTCTGAGATACCACTAAGATTATGTCAAAGTAATATACTCTTTTAGTGCAGGAAGAAATTTGGCTTATTTAATGAACAAGTCTTTTGTTTGATGGTGGGGAGTGGTGAATGGAATTTACAATCAAGATGTGAGAAATGCTGATTCATTCTGTGTTCCAAGCCAGAGTAAACAAATCTGTAGTAATTGGAAAGTTCAGTTTTAAGGTCCAAAGTTTCAAGGGTGTCACCAGTATATCAGGTAATAAACACAGGAAGCCAAGGAAAAAAATTAGAAAAGAAGGCAAACATACTAAAATAAAGCTAGGTGAAGTGCAGAATTTAGGGACGGTGTCTGTAAATGAGGAAATAAAATAGGGGCCTCCTTAGGTCTTCCAGCTAATCCTGACTAGAAGGAGTTAAAAAACTTTATGAAAGAGAGTTCTCTTAGAAAGAGGTCAAAGAATGGGGAGGGGATAAGAAACAGGTAAAAATGGCCTTGGACTTGCATCAAGGATCAGAAAAAGAGCTGACAGACAGGACACAGAGAAAGCCAGATGCACCAATGATGACTGTCTCCAACTCCCATAAAATATAAGGAAAGTAGAAGAGGGCTAATGAACTCTCAGGGAGTGTGTGCTCACACCTATGCACTAACATATTCATATACATATACGTCACTATGTTAATTCACTCTAGGGTCATCATAGTGTATTCACTTTAGAGTCACTATGTTAATTAACTCTAGGGTCATCATAGAGTACAAAGACAGCCACATGCCCCCTCACTATAAGGTAACCAAAAATAAGGCACCCCCTTGTTAACTAGCTGCCCACCCCAAAGATAAGACCTGAAAAAGTACATCAAGGACAAGTAAAGAAACAGATAGAAGCTGCACACTGACCACCGGAAGAAATGATGTTAGACAGAGGTGCCCAAAAGCCAACCCAGGTATGGCAAAGTCTAGGGGGAGGGAAAGTCACCCCCCTCCCCAAATAAAAACACCTGAAAGCAGGGTGTGGTGGCGGACACCTGTAATCCCAGCACTTGAGAGGCTGAGGCTGGAGGATCATTGTAAATCCGAGACCGGCCTGGCCTACAAAGTGAGCACATGGGCAGCCTGCAGTGGGTAAGGGGCCCTTCTCTCAAAAAGACAAAAACAAAAACCTGAAAACAAAAGACTCAGCTCCTTCATCTTTCCCGAGACCCTTATTCCTGATTCTTTCTTATAAGGGCAGTTATCTATCTTCTCCTTTCTCTCTTCTTTTCCTCTTTACAAAGTGTCTGCCTTTCGTCAAAATTTGTCCCTTTAATTTATTATTGGGCTAAGTTGCAGTACTTGTGAAGTGCACACGCCAGAGAACAGCAGTGTTCCTCCCCCAGACGCAACAATGAACACTGGACAGACAACAGAAGCCTGGGTCAATATGATTATTTGATATGACATTAATAATTTCAATTACCTTACCCTGATTGAGATCGTGCCCTCATAGTTCACACTTTTGGGGGGGGATACACAGTCTTCTGAGACCCTAGCTGCAGAGTACCCCTAAGCCCTCAGATTAAAGCTCTAAATTGCAGCAATACTTTGACCACAGGTAGTTCGTGAATTTGAAATCCCTCTCTTCTTTTCAGATCCTGCCACCCAAATCCCTACCTTTATAAAACATTTCTTAAGGCCTACCCAAGCTGTTTCTCTAGCGCCCTGGGCACCCTCGTCACAGCCTGCAGGCGCTGTATTGGATTTGTCGGTTCACAGGGTGTCTTTCCCACTAAGCTGAGTTTCTTGAGGACAAATTTGATAAGGTTTACATATATGAACCTCCAGGAATTCTACAGTACCGGGTGAGTTATTAACAAATAAATGTCACTTCAATTAAATTGATTTCAAAGTTAGGAAACTATCGGTCGCGAGGACCTCCGTGTTGTAGCTGAGCTGCAGACTGGGGTAAGCGCAGCAGAACATCACATGATGGCAATGAGGCTGAGAGGCCAAAGCTAAATCCTTAACAGCACGCGTGGGCAAAACTGAAAAAAGCAACAGCGGTAGCAGGTCTGCAGTGATCTGGCCGTGGGTGATGTGGGGCTGCAGCTATTTAGTGTTAGACCTCACTTTTGAGCTGTCTTCGCGCTGGAACCATTAGGGAGCCGACCCGGTGGCGCAGACCTGTAATCCCAGCACTCGGGAGGCTGAGGCAAGAGGATTGTTTGGAGTTCGAGACCAGCCTGGGCTACAAAGTGAGCTTAACTCCAGCCTGAACTGCACAGCGAGACTCTGTCTCAAAAACGGACAGACAGAAAGAAAGAAAGAAAGGAAGGAAGAAAGAAAGAAAAAAGAAAGAAGGAAAGAAAAAAAGAAGCAAAGAAAAAAGAAAGAAAGAAGAAAGAAAACCACAAACTATCAAAAACACAGAAGCTTATCTCAGACCCACCACTAACCATCTCGGGGTAGGCCAGGAGGCTCCACGCCCAAATTCTTTCCCGCTGAGGCATGCCCGAAAGGGGCGGGCTCTGTGTCCGAAAGGGGCGGGCCCTGTTCCGGAAGGGGCGGGTCCTGTGTCTGCACGGACGCTGCCTCCACCATGGCGTCCCGGGTGGTCTTTGGCATCGGCCTGCTCTCTGCAATCCCCCTCTTGTGTCTGGAACTCCAGCGTGGGATCCCAGAGATAGGTAATTGTTCAGTTTTTGTCCCCTGGTGTCCACAGCTGGAAACTTTTCACACGTTTCTGATTGGATTAGCTACTCCAGCCGCGGCTCTGTAGAGCGGCTCTGACTACAGTTCCCAGACTGCATCATGCCACCTCCCTTTTCCGGATCCGACTCCGTTTGGCAAAAAGTTTCCTCCAGGTCTGGCAAATTTTAGCGTTGAAAGGAACCGAGGCGAGGAGTACAGGGGCAGTCGTAGACAGTACTGGATTTTCAAATTTTAGTTCGTGCTCAGAAGGGAATAAAGGCATTGAGAAAAGGAAAGACCGAGAAACTTGGGGAGTATGCCAGCAAAAAGACTGGCACGTGGGAGCAAAAGGATGAAGGCCAGTGTGGTTTGGATCAAGGAGTGGGGGAAAGAGGCTCAAGATAATAACATTCATTGACCCCTCTATGTGTCAGACATTAAATGCTATGCACTATTTCATTTAATGTGTTCGATGATTATAAGGACTATGTAGACTTTTCACCCCGATAGTGGGGATTGACTCGGACTTTCATACTAACCTATATTCCCCAGCCCTTTTAAAGTTTAAGACAGGACCTCATTAACTTGCAAATTTCCCAGGCTGGGTTCAAATTTATGATCCTCAGCTTTCCAGGGTGCTGGGATTACAGAAACAAGCCGCTCTAGATAGGTACTATCTATAATCCCCATTCTATGGATTTAGGGAGGACAGATAGTTTCCTTGAGGTTTTAAAAAGGTCATCCTAGACTCTGTGGAGAATGTTTTGGAAGGAAGCTATAGTGGAAGGCAATGAGGTAGGCTAGGGTTATGAAGTAGGTAAGTAGCATGTTATTAGAATAACAGTAAAAACGAGCACAGGTCATGCTTATTTGATAGCTTGATGTTTTGGGTGAGAGGGGACTGAACAGCGATAGATTTCTAATAGGGCCAGTAGTAACAGGTAACTAAAAGGAAAACAGGTGTGGAAAATCAGGAGTTGATTTTTGGACATAATTAGTAATAAATTTATATATTTGTCTTTCTCTTTAAGCTATGTGCCAACAGAAAAATCATGGTAAAGATGGGCACTGTGGTGTACACCTGTTACACCAGCATTCGGGAAGTCCAAGGCATGAGGATCACAATGCAAGCCCAGCTGGTGAATTTAGCAATTTACTGAGACCCTCTCTCAAAATACTATTAAGAAAAAATAGAAACAAAAAACCCTCTTAGCTCTTTCTTCTCTTTATCCTTCCCACCTCTGAGGAGTCAGGTGGACAGAACTGTTGTTTGAAATAAGATGCTTTAAAAAAATTTACAGCTTTCCTACTGACTCGAGCTATGTTGAGATATAACAAGATCTTTAGTAAAATGATAAATGAAATAGTCAGATTCATCCTTAACTGTTACAGAATTCACCTGCTGCTGTACCTTTCCAGCACCCACCCTTATCTGCTTATTCAGAACCTTTTACTTTGTGCTAGTGTCCCAGACACTAATCAGTCAGATCATCACTTAAGGGCTGTAGGAGTTTTGCTCCTCAGTCAGCTCTAGCCCCTGGAAAATGCAATTCTTTTTTTTTTTTTTTTTTTTATTTAAGAGGAAAAAGAGAAAAACACAAAACAAAACAAAGCAGTGTAAGGGTACACGTAATACAGAACTACAAAAAAAAAAAAACATAACAGTAAGAAATCACCTGTTAATAGATTACATATTATCATCTTGAAAATAGTTGCTCAATTCACAGTATCAAAGAATACAAAGTGGACATTCAAACAGGGAGACTACAAACAGCTGTGTTCAGTGATCCAAAAACATTGATATAGTCAGCTATTTAACACCCCTAAACACACTTGCTGTTATATCCGTTAGAGCTCCTTTTTTTCCCCCTCTCTTTTTTACAACAAAATTTACACATTTTGGATTTTATTACTCCTTAGTTCTTACTACTTTTTTGGGGGGGGAGAGAATACAGTCAAATATGGCAAAACAAAGCTGTCAGTCAAAACCAAGGATAGACATAGCACATGGTGTAGAACAGAGTACAAGGTTATCAACAATAGTTATCAACATTGTCTCTTGTTTCCTTAAAAAGAATTGTCTATCTCATTAGATATTATAAAGTTGGACAAAACAGTAGAGAACAAGACCAATAAAACTTAGGCATTGTAAACATTACAGGACTTCCAAAGGAGACAATAGTCAAACCAGAATGGGCATCATAGTGAATCTTATTGCCTTCAAAGTAGTTGCCTATACCCTCAAACTTGATACTATCATACAGAATGGAACAGAGTCTAATCAGTCAAAACAAGATCGTGGGAGTATTACAGGACTTCAAAACAAGTTAATAGGAAATCAAAAAGAGTTACTATTATATATCCTAATTTTTAAAATTTTTCCCCTTAATTAAGACAAACATAAGAAATAACTAAATAATGAAAATGCAATTCTTGAGGGTAGAGACCACTTCTAATGTGTTTTTGTGTTCCCAGACCTTGTCACCATGTCCTAATGTATTTATTTTTTGAGATATGTTCTCATTTACATAGTCTAGGCTAGGTTTGAACTGTCCATCCTCTTCTCTCAGCCTCCTACACGTTGGAATTCAGATGTGTGCCTCTACACAGTCTTAATAACACTAGGCCAAAGTCCTAGGAAATATAAACAAAATCCTGGCAGCATCTCCTCGTTCTTGACATTTTTACTTAACACTTCCTTCTGGAATGCTTTGTTGTGAGCTAGTGGTTGTTTCCTATGGTTTTCATTTTGTTTTGTTTTTTGAGACAGGGTTTCACTAGTTCAGGCTAGCTTTGAACTTACTCTGTAGCCCAGGGTTGCCTCAGACTTACAGTGATCCTCTTGTCTCAGCCTCCTAAGTGATGAGATTACAGGCCTCTGTCACCATGCCCTGCTGGTTACTAACATGCTTATGCCTGCCATGTGGAGTCCGAACCATGATGCAGGGGCGGAGATGGAACTACCTATTCAGTCTCCTTACTGTCTTTTTAGGCATACAGTATTGAAAAATGATTCATATCTTTTTGCTGTTGTATAAAAGCCTTCATTGCCAGGCTGCGAGTCAAACCAAGAGCCTCACGGATGCTAGACCTGTGCTCTACCACTGAGTAGTATCTCCAGGCCTCACCAATTCATTTTAAGGGTACTGAGATTAAGTACTTAAGGCTGGCTCTTCACATTTGTTATCCTTCAAAGTACCCTGGTTATAGGCTGTAGAGCCTAGCTACCCACCTTCCTTAAGAATGCCCCAGAAACCTTAATTCAATATTTTTTTACTTGAAAGATGTACACACAAATCTAGTTCTTTTATATTCCCATGTGATACTTGCAGGTTGCTTACTTGTTAGTACAAAAAGCAATATTATGGAACATGCATCCCAAAGCACTGTGGTTTCTCTATGGTATTAATATTTAGGTGTTAAATTACTTTTGTAATGGTCAGAGTTACCCTAGATTCAGTTATATATTGTATTGAATAACACCTTAATCAGTAGTTAATGTTGGTAAAAGTTAGAGGAGCTGTGATTAAAAAGAAATTTTTTTAACTTTATTATTATTATTAAAGACTAACAAACATGTTTTCAGTTTAAATATAACATTGCGGGGCATGGTGGCACATGCCTGGAATCCCAGCACTAGGGGGCCAAGACAGGAGGATTGCCAAGAGTTCCAGGCCAGCCTGGGCTGCATAGCAAGATCCTAATTTAAAAACAAAGCAACAACTGCAGCATTAAAAAAAAACAGAGGAAAAAAGCATTTAATTGTGTTAAGTTTTATTGTGTTCCTTCTTTTATGCTTAATTGACTGTCATCTCTAATCACATTGTTAATATGGCTTTATATGTCTGCCAACAAACTTTAGAAAATTAAAAAACAAAACAAGACCAAAAACTCCTAGAAGTAGAAACCATTTACTCAACTTTCTCTTTGCTTAGCATTAGCAAATTGTATCATACAAAGCAAGTATTTTACATATTTTAAGTTATATAAACTTTTTCCTCCTTTCTGGGTAGAAAGGAAACCAGAGCTTATGTTTTACCGACATTTGATTTGCCTGTTTATCTATTAATTAATACTGGAGATTGAACCCGGGGCTTTTGCGCTAAGCTACTCCCAGTCTTTTATTTTTGGTTTTGAGACAGGATCTTGTTAGGTCTCTAAGTTGTCTAGGGGGGCTCAGACTTGCCTTCCTCCTTCCTCAGCTTCCCAGAGCACTGGAATTACAGATGTTCTCACTGTGGCTGGTATCCTAGTGTTTATAATGTAGCTCAGCACTGTAATTATGACTGTATTCCTATAATAGAAGATGTTTATTCTGGAATTATTTTCTGGAAGTTTGTTCTGGTAATGATAACCACTATATGAATTTTAGTGTCTAAAGGAATGAATATATATATATATAGAGAGAGAGAGAGAGAGACTGTAACACGGTTATATAACTTACTACACATTTTTGGTACAGATAATCTATTACTCCTTATTAAAGACAAAAAATTGTCTTTAATTGTGTTCTTTTTCCTTTATTAGGAATTAAAGATTTCATTTTGCTGTGTGGCCGGATATTCTTACTGCTTGCTCTTCTTACTTTAATTATTTCTGCGACTACCTCATTGCTTAACTCACTCAGATCTTCCCAAGTTTATCTGAAAGGTGAGTTTATTATTTACGCTTCCCTTTAAATTTTTCTACTCACATTTCTTTTATTTACAATTTTGCATGGTAAGAACCATAGATTTGTGATGTGTAATTTCAAGGAGTATGATCCTTTATAACTTTGGTGATGATTATTTTGAAAACTGTAAATCTCAACATTATCAGAAACTGTACTCTTTTCTTATATGTATTTCTGAAACTATCATTTCTGAGTTTGTTGCATTGTAAATTACCTAATTTTCTATTGTGTATTTGTATCACTTAAACTGCTGTGTGATATCTATGGTTTGTAAACTTTTTCAAAGAGTAATTATATCTACCTTTTTTTTTTGAGATGGGGTCTCACTATGCAGTTCAGGCTTGCTCTGAGCTCACTTTGTAGCCCAGGCTAGTCTTGAATTTGTAATGATCCTCCTACCTCAGCCTCCTGAGTGCTGGGATTACAGGTGTAGCTGTTTTTACTATTAATCTTTAAAAGGCTTTTCATTCGCATTTTAAGTTTAATGCTACCTATATTAATTTAGGCACCTATAAAGTGCTTTTAGTTTTAGGAAATCATGCTTGTTTTTATTTTTGTTTCTTTTTTGATAAGTTAGAATTTGAGTTCTAGAAGGCTTTTAAAATAATATGTATGTGGACTCAGAATAGATGAGCTTTAAAACTAAAAGCTGCATTCTTATATGTAGTAGGAAAAGGTTCACCAAAAATGAATTTGGTAGTTTATATTTGGTTTTATTGTTTGTGTATTTAAATGTAAATAAATAAAAATTTAAAATATTTAAATGTTAAATATGAAGTGATTAATTTATAGCCCTTTCATCTTAAGTATGAAAGAAATCATGCTAAAAGTCATTTGAGTCATAGTGACAATATAGCTGTTTCAAGATCTCTTAATCATGGATACTGTTTTTGTGTTTTTCTTTTGGTAAGTTACTTAGTCTTTTATTCTTTAACATAGTTGGAAATTAAGGGTACTATAATTTTCACCAGGAATTTTGTGTTTAATATATTTTCAAGGCTGGAATTATAGAGGTATGATTAGCATGTGCAAAGTCCTGAGTTCAATTCTCACCACTCATTAATAAAGAAAAATAAAGTACTTTGATACCAGTGGGATGCTTGGTGCTTACGTTAAACTAGCTGTCAGGCAGTCTGTTTTCTATTTTACAAATAAGGGAAATCAACTCTTGCCATAGTTTTGGTACCTTAAGTACCTTTGTATCTTTTTATTGCTGAAGTACAAGTTATCTGGTAAATCTATGGATTGGCAGTTGAGAGACATAATCCTCAAGTGAAGCTAATGTTGTCTAACATGTATAACCATTAAGACTGCATTTAGTGCTGCTTACTGAAGGGTTTTCTTCAGGTGAGTGTAAAGTCAGCTTGCTGCTATTCTTCCTGTCTTTCCTGTTGTCACTGGGATATTGAGATGGAAAGGTGTGCCATTTGCTGCATCAGAGGCTCAGAAGCGTTCACAGGGACTCAGTGATTGTCTTCTAAGGGTGGACACGTAATTCAGTGGGAGAGTGTTTGCCTCACTTGTGCAAAGCCTTGAGTTTCATTTGTAGTGTGCATATAGACACACACGAGAAGAACAAAAGTAAAAGAAAAAAGGTAATACTATTGATTCATTTTCAAGTACCTCGATTCAGTTAGGCAAGTATCTTAAGATCAGTGAGTCTGACTGACCAAATAGCAAACCTGTGGTCACACTGGGCCTTCTGGTTTCCTGATGCACTCGGCTATCCTAACCTTCATTTTATAATTTAAGGAAAAAACTGCTGCCCTAGGGATAAAGCTGTGGGCAAAAGGGATGCTCCTTCTTAAGGAGCCAGGGAGTTGGACAGATGTATTTTTCTAAAAGGTGGATCAGTCTTCAAGGAAGTAGTTTCTGATGCATTGTTAATATTTGTAAGCCATTTCAGATATTATTACTGCTCTATTAGAAAATTATTCTTTAAATGTTTTAAAGATCAAGCTACATACTTAAAAATGAGATTTAGTATACCAAGTGTAAAAAAGCACCCACACAACAGAAATCCTTCCTGGTAACATTCAGTGGGTAGTAGACTAACACTGGTTCAGTCATTTTAGGGGTTGAAAGGGCACTTAACTTTGGGTACCATGGTGCTTTTACTGTCACATCCAGTGGCAGCAGAATGACACTCGTTATGCCCGCAGCTTGTCTACTGCATACTTTACGTGCAGTAGTGGGCTTCCGTGCTGCACCCCAGACCTGCTGAAGTTCTGTTAAGACAAGAAAAATAGGGTTGTGATGGCTCGTGACTAAAAGAAGAGGTGAACAACCACTGCACCAACCTTACCTCACCTAGAATAAAAACAGGAGGGCTCCTTGCCAGCCCGAGTCAGTTTTGCCCCAAAGACCGATCAGAAGTAACCAAGACTCCTTCACACATTGAGGGAGATACTCGGAGACGGTACTCCATGCTGCTAGGCTTTGTGCTCATGCATATACATGTACATTGTGCTGTTGCTACATCGATTTATATATATGCTATTTCTTTTATAGAAAACATGTCTAATCTCATGGTATTCCACCAACAGGACTTCTCTATCTGTGTGGTAGCCTGTATTCTGCTCTTTCCTGACCTTTGCTAAGGGGCAGCCTGCTGCTATGTATCTATGATTCTCAGAAACCGTCTTTACTATTACCTGTTGGCTGTGTCTGATTTCCATCTTTCCTGAGTCAAAGAACTTACAAATCCAGTGGCATCATCAGAATATTCTGGAAGCTTCCTTAGCAGTACTGTTATGTATAATAACACCTGTCAGAGAATAGTGTCAGTACAGAGCCTGTTACAAACTTTGCTATAGATTTCATGTGCAGATTTCTTTGTTTCAACTGTTTGCATATACTTTTTCATTACTTGAAAAAATAATCTTTTTTGAAGGCTGTTTATCTCTTTCAAAATATTAAAATCTACAGACTATCTTTAGAGAATATGCCATCTGGTTTATTGACATGTAGAAATTAAAAAACACTTTTATGTTTTGATGACTTAGAAGATGAAGAAAAAGAGAAAAATGAAAGAAGACAACTCGTGAGAAAAAAACAACAAGAAGTACAGAATGAAAAGGTAAAGCATAGTTGCTTATCTGATGTAGAACTATGCCTGATAAGACATTAAGTTAAGGATATACATGTGTACATACAATGCATATTGTATATGTATATGCATGTGTGTATTTATGTATGTGAGAGAGACAGAAGGAGAGGGAGGTACAGGGTCTCACAATGTAATTTAGGCTGGCCTTGAACTCACTGTGTATCCCAGGCTGGCCTCGAACTCATGATGATCCTTTCTGCTCCAGCCTCCCGAGTGCTAGGATTATAGATGTCTGCCTTTGTGTCCCATGCTGTGATATCATTTGATATGAGGCTTTTTCATTTTTTTGTGCAAGAAATTAAGTTGCTACAATACGTAGACCTGTCCTTTAGTTCTGTAAAACTTCCTCGTATTATTTCCTGAATATTTTCTGTATCCTTCTCTTTGGGAAACCCCTTAGGTGAATTTAGGAATAAGAGATTGAGCCCAGTTGTTTCATCTTCTTGTCCACTGTCCATTTTAGTGGTTCTAGGGAATTTCAGTTGATTATTTGAGGTATTGTAATGTTAATTTCCAAGACTACTTACTTTCTCATTTTCTCTTTTTTGTAACATCCTATTATAGACCACTAAGTAATAGAAATTAGTATAAAGTCAGGGAGGGACTGGGCTCTCAAGAAAACCAGTAGAAAAAAATAAAGACATTAGAATTGCTGCTGGAGGTGCATCTGAAGACCTGGCCTCAAGATAAAAATACAATGGCCAGGCCTATGTGCCTGCCCAAGAGATAAACAGTGACTTGAAATTATACTGTAGTTAACAAAAGTTGGTCCAGTAAGTCTTGGTGGGCATCAGTAGCCAGGTGGGAGGCCCGAACATCTGAACCCATCCTATCCCCAAAATGCCATTGTTTTTTCCATGTGCACTGCTCTGTGATTGGTTTTCCTATTGCTCAGTATTAGCTAAGCAACTATACTTGTAATCCTATAGATTAATTGTGGTTTAACCCACATAGACACACTGTGACACTGCTGTATAAATTACCCATGAAGTGGAGCCTTGATGACCACCCCAGTTGGAACCCCTCCTGGAAATCAGGAGCTGTTCACTCATTTCCAGTAAAACTCTACTAAACATTTTCTTTGGTTTGTGACTTTATTCCTCCAATCTGTGGGGCCATGAACTTGGCTCATTTGACATCTAGCAGGTCAGCAATTAAATTTTTCTTGTATCAATCCTATTCTTATTTTTCCAAGGTTCTTTTTTTTTTTTTGTCTTTTTGAGACAGGGTTTATTGGTGAATTGAGGCCATTGCATTAATGGTTACAACTGACCTGCATTGGTTCATCTCTGCCATGCTGTCTTCCTGCTGTTGGCCCTCCACTTTTCCCTCTCATTCAGTTGTCTGCCCTGTTTGGTGATCCTCCTCTGCTGCTGTTCCTGGAACCATGGTCATCTTTGGCTCTGTCTAGAATATCCTTCACCACTCTCTGTAGGGTTGGTTTGGTATTCATGAATTCCTTCAGTTGTTTTTTATCATGTAAGTATCTTAGTTTTCCATCAGTTTTGAAAGATAGTTTTTCAGGGTAGATCAATCTGGGATGTTTTCTTTCAGGGTTTGAAACACTTTACTCCAAACTCTTCTTGACTTGATGGTTTGTGTTGGTAAGTCTGCTGTGATTCTGATTGGTTTTCCTTCATAGGTGATCTGTCTCTTTTTTCTAACAGCTTTTAATATTCTGTTCTTGTGCTGAAATTCTGGAATCTTGATTATTATATGTCGGGGTGTAGATTTACTTTGGTTTTGGCTAGTTGGAATCCTGTATGCCTCACTTATCTGCATAGCAGATCGATGTCCCATGTTTGGGAAGTTTTCTTCTATTATTTCTGTGTATAGCATTTTAATTTCATTTGTGTTGATCCCTGCTTCTTCACCAACACCTATCAGTCTTTTTTTTTTTAACACCTAAAAGTCTTAAATTATGCTTCTTTGCATCATCTTGCAGCCATTGAGTTGTTATTTCCTGATTCTGGGTTGTTTTTAAGAGATCTTTCCTTTTACAATCACTAGCTGCTATCCTATCTTCAAGGTTTGAAAGTCTATCTTCAGTCTCTTTCAAGTGGTTTTGCCAGCTTTTGATTGAATTTTTAATTTCCTGGATCTCTGTTTGAATCTGTTTCATGCGTTGTAATTAATTCCTTTGTACATTCATTCAAGGTTTCCATTATTTTCCTGTGCTCCTCTTTATTGTCTGTGTCTTCTTTTCTTCTTTTACCTCAGACATTATTTCTGATTTGACTGCTTTTCCAATCTCATGAAATTGTTTCCTTATTTCAGTTGCTATCCTCTCAGAGATTTCAGGTGTGTGACTTCCATTTTCTTTCATGACTATATCTCCCAGACTTGTTCTGTGTGGGCTAGAGGTCTGAGATTGCCTTTTCCTCCTTCATTTTGACATTCTCCTGGGTTCCTCCCCACAAGCTGGTTGTGGGCCCCAGGTACCTCCCATGTTGGCTGCCCCTCCGTGGTATTAGGGGGATGGGACAGATACCTGGGTTCCTCTAACCCCAGATTTACAGGGAGGTAGTAGGATGTGAAGCACACTGGGGCTTCACTGATGATCAGGGATACATGGAGGTGGAGCTGCTTCTCTCAGCCTGTGTGTCTACCCTGGGACTCCTGCAGTGGTGGCAGACACACAGGGGTGTTTTTGTCTGATTCCACTATTGGGCAATGGCTGCCCAAAGGAACCAAGGGCCTCCAATGGTGGCGTACAGGTGCACAGAGCTATCTGACTGTGTGTCGCTACTCCTGCTGCAGCCTTCCAGTGGCAGTTCCCTACAGGCAGAGGTAGATGGCTAGTTCTCTCTGCTGGTGTTGGCTGCCCCGGGAAAGGGCCTTCTGGCTGGTGGCACCTGCCAGGCTGAGATGGATCTGTCTCATAAATGAGAATTTTTATGTAATGCAAAATTGGGGATGCTGTTTTATTGGCTAGAGCAAGTTAGTGTGACAACAATATCTAACTTGGTTCTTATTTACAGTTTTATAGACTGTGAATTTTTCTTCTTGCTGTTTAGTTTTTCAAGCCTTGAATTTACTGTATAACCCAAGTTGGTTTTGAACTCATGGCAGTTCTCCTGCCTCAGCCTCCTGAGTGATGGGATTACAGGTGTGTGCTGCCACACCCAGCTGATAGTGTAAATTTTTTAGGAACATTAACATATAGTAATGTGTACTTTGTTTTCTTCAACAGGCCAGTAGATACACAGAGGACATTTTAAAACCTCGTCAGGAAATGAAGTTAAAAAAGCTGGAAGAGCGCTTTTATCAAATGATGGGTGAAAGCTGGAAATTAACCAGTGGTCACAGACTTGGGGTTAGAAAATACTCTATTTTGAATGCTACTATTACTTATATTTCCTTTTATTGATTTGTTTTAAAAATTGAAAATGATGTTAAGCCGGAAAGTCAGATTTTTAGGAGTCTTTGTTGTTACTGATTATATGTCAGTTTTTATTCAGCATGCTCATGTGCCAGGTAGTTAAATGGTTTTTGGTGCTTGAAGTGTATGTATTTTAGAAAATATCATGAGGCAGTCTTCAAGAAAAATGCAGAGAAACCACTATTTTAAGAAAATTTTGATCTTTCCTAAATTTAGACCTCCAAGGTATAAAGCTCACATTATGTTTGACTCTGTTTTAAAAGCTAGATTGGATTTGGATTATTTTTTCCTTCTGACATTAAGGAAAAATTTCTTCATTAACTAATGTAAGTTTACAATTTTAAGTTTTCATAGAAAGAAGGATATTCATACAGATGTTAAGATTAACTGGCTACAGTTTTTATGTGTAAGACCCATTTCTCTTCCAAAAACATTTTTGGTTTTTTGGTAATTGGCTTTTTGTTAACACTGCGTCTCTCACTGTCTTGTTAAAGAAAATGATCCAGTAAAGAGAATCAGGGTTCTTAGGGTAAACCTACAATTAATGGGAAAGATGGGCAACCGAAAATAAAACCAATCTATGCGGTGATTTCACTTTTTTGTTTGTTTGTTTGTTTGGGGGTTTAGGCTGACCTTGAATTCACTGTGTAGCCCAGGCTGTCCTAGAACTCACAGCAATCCTCCAACCTCAGCCTCCCTAGTGCTGTTACTATAGACATGCACACCATGCCTGGCTTGTGATTTCACTTCTGAGTTTGCCTTCTGTTGAGTTTTGTGCCTGATAGACTTTGGTAGGTTGGGTTTTGTATTTTTGGAGACAAGGCTCACTGTATTGCTCAGGTCAGTCTCATCTCTAGGGCTTCCGTGGTCCTCCTAGGTCAGCTGTGATGATAGGCACACACCACCACACTGGCTTGCCAGGTTTGCTTTATCCTGGTCCACGGTGAGGTAGTCATCTGCCCCTTGTGTCCAGGCCATCTTCAGAGCATGTGAGAGTCATGGCACTGGCCCTGGGGTTGCGTGGGCAGTCTGGGCTGGGCCTGGAAAGTTACATTTTTAGCATTAAGATCTTTTGATTCCCATTCCCCACGCTTCTTCCACCAGATTTTCTTAGGATAAAGAAAGAGGGATTGATACCCTCCTCTGCCACACACACACACACACACAGTGGTAAACAGTATAGTCAGATAAAGAGAACATTTTCTCTTAGAAGAACAGTTGTTATGGAAGGAGTTACCAAACTAGTGAGTCTGTGTTTGACAGTTTAACATTTAAATAAATTAGTTTTGTTAAAGAAAAAATGTTAGTACATAATATTAATAAAGAGTAATCTTTGCAGGGTGTAGTGGTACATGTCTGTAATTCTAGCACACAGCAAACTGTGGCAGGGAGATCATGAATTTGAGGCCAGTATGATCTACATAGTGAGTACTGTCTCAAAAAGAAAAATGAAAACAACCCCCCTACCCCCCACCCCACCAAAAGAGTACCGTTTTTAATTTCTGAGAAAAAAATGTTTTGTCTCCTAGAGTGATTAAAATGGAAGGTTAAAGTTTGAAAGCCACACCATCTTTATATATAATCAGGCCACATTCAGCTATGGAAATTTTGCATGGTCACATATGAAGACAAGGTTTTACATATGTTCTATTTTCACAGGCTTTGAAAACAAACCCCCCAGTACTGTCTTGCTTCTTTTAGGATATCATTCAGGCTTTTTTCTTTCTCCCATCCTGCTGAGAAGCTTGGGCTTGATCAGCAGTGGGAAGTGCCCCATCATCCTCTTGTCTAGCAGAGGAGACCCCAGAATTGGATAAGCTTACACTACTTTCTGCAAGATATTAAGCCTTGTGTAAAAGTCTAAGGAGAATGCCTGGGACTTAGCTCAGTGGTGCAGACACCTTTCTAGCAAGTGTGAGTCTCAAGTTTGATTCCCAGTACCCCCTCCCCAAAAAAGGTCCAAGGAGAGAATGCTTTAATTTTGGCGGGCCTAATGATGATTTAACATTCAAAAAAAAAAAACAACCCACAATTTTCAAACAAGACAGAGGGTAACAGTGGTTAATACATTGTGTATTATTATCTTTAAATTAGTTACTGAGAGCACAAGATGTCTATATTTAATTGTCCAATAGCACAAACCTTTGTTTTCAATGAACTAAGAGAAATTAGTATTATAACTATGTTATGAATTCTTTCACCTCACACTAGGGAGATAATAACAATGTCTACACAACATTTTTTAATGTATTATGCCATTATAGTAAAATAAATAACTGTTATGTATAGAGTAAAATTGATGAAGAGAAATTTTCTGCTGTTTTTGACCAGGGTGATGAAGATTCAGTGCTTAAAAATGTGAACCAGACACCTTCGGAAACAAAGAGAGACGCCAATGAGAGATGCCGCTTGCCTCGTCCTGTGCCCAGAGTTCTGCCACCCACTGGGCAGCCCCTGCAGGAGGAGGTTGTATAACACCAGTTTGCGTGGTGTCCACACCGTGGCTGGGGAGATGGTGTCTCCTGACCACCTGAGAAAGTGACCATCCTCACTTGAAATCATTTGTCTTTTTTAACCCTAAATTAAGGTTCTGAACCAAACTTTATAGCTTGAGAGAATAATTCTTTTTGAGGAAGTCATTTGATTATGTGGAAATGAAAAATACAGTACTTATTAAGGGAAGCATTTTCAATGGGTAGTTTAAGACATTATTGTGCCGCATTTGGCTAACACCTGCCACAGGTTGAATATTCCCTTTATGTGGTATTTTGGAATAATTTTGTAGTTTCATGGTGTAGAATTTTTTGCCTGTGCCATCAGGTTGAGGCTCAAAAAGTTTCAGATTTGGGAGCATTTCAGATTTTGAATTAACTTAAATATATCATTTTCCTCACTGTGGCCCTTTAGGAAATAGGTTTGTAATCTTGTTGCTTGGAAATAGTACCCACTATTTCCTGTTTGTTTGTTTTTTTCCCCAAATTTTTAAACTGGTTGGTTCTGATTTGGAGCTAAAAAAGGTTCAAAATAAGAAAACTATTTTACTTAAGGAAGGCTCTGAAGGTTGTTTCTAGTACAGTATGTTACTTCCCAGTCTAAGATTCTCTGGTGCATAGTAGAGCTTGAAGGGAGGAATCAGGTAATTGAACTATTGCTGTTGTTTCAAAAGGCTCTAATGAGCTCTATGGACCAATTAAAAAATTGACTTTTTTTTGATATGGGGTCTTGCTTTGTAGTTCAATCTGGCCTTAAATGCACTGTATAGCTCAGGCTGGCCTTGAACTGACAGTGATCTTCCTGCCTCAGCCTCTCAAATGCTGGAATTACAGGTGTGAGCCATCACACCTGGCAAAAAATTGAATTTCTTTTATTAATAGCCTTCATACTGATGGGAAATTCTGGCTGACAGTTGTGTAAAAAGTCTGTGGTATTTAAAAAAAAAAAATCCCTGGAGTAAAGTTCTTAGTAACAGTAAGATAAGAATTAATTTTATGAAAGGAAATGATTGCAGCATTTTTTTTTTTTTTTTTTTTTTTTTTTTTTTTTTTGCGGTGCAGGGGATCGAACTCATGACCTTACGCTTGCCAGGCAGGTCCTTATGCCACTGAGATACATCTCTGGCCCTTTTTTTTTTTTTTTTTTCTGAGACAAGCTTTCACTGTGCAGTTTAGGCTGGGCTTGGACTCACTTCATTGCCCAGGCTGGATACAAACTGGCAGTTCCCACCTCAGTATCCCGAGTGTTAGGGTTACAGGCATACCCCACCATGCCCAGCCAACATTTGATTTCTTAATAGATTAACAGAAACAGGAAAGACATGAGTAAATGACAAAAGCAACCAAAGTAAGTGGTCACTATCCAGTCCCCTAGGAGTGTCAACCAGGAAAAAGAAAACATAGAACTCATTGAAGTGTGGATGTGTATGTATTAAATAATTGTGGGATCTTACTGAACTTTAATCATGTTACTATTTTTCCTGTTTCTTTAAATAGTAAATTTTTACTCATCTTAGAACATGGATTGGCAACTGTCCTCTCGAGTCCTATTTTTATGATGTGTTGTTTTATGACGAGCGGCTTATCTGAAGTGTTTGCTGGATGCTTGTTCCCTCCTCACTCCCTTTTTTTCCTTCCCTGGAGGATGAGCCCAGGGCCTCGCCCCTGCTAGTCAAGGGCCAGGAGCTGCACCCCCAGCCACGTCTCTCGTGTACCATGGAAACTGTGGAGCTCTTCTCATTGCAGTTATTTTTGAAGGCTTCTTGAACATATTCCTTTTACTAATATTTATATCTCTTCAGGTTTCTGACTTACCCGAAGAACCTTCTGAAACAGCTGAAGAAGTAAGCTTATTTATTTTCTGAAAATTATATTTTCCATTTTGTCTAACATCAGTAAATATATCTTATCTAAACTTGAGTTGAGAGAAAAAATAGCATGTTCATGTGACTGCACTGTAATTAAGTCTTGTTCCAAATATGGCATAATTTCGAAGTCCTCAGCCGAGTCCTGTTTTGGAAGCCTTCTGTTGGCCGTGCTGCTTTTTAGAGCCCGCTCGCTCACTGCCTGCGGCAGAGAGAGAGTTTCTCAAAGTTTAGGTCAGTGAACTATTCATTAAGACAGAATCAAAATAGGCAGATGCTTCAATAAGTCTTCCGTTAGAGATTTTCAGGATGGTTTGTCGTTATGGACTCGGCCTTCCCATGCTGAGCTGCCAGGTTCCTAGCTGCTGATTTGTCTGCTCTGCCTTCCCGAGCCTGGTTAGACATTTGTCAGACACGGGAAACGCACCACACCCTGCTAGTCACGGGCAGTATGTCCAGAAGGAGAATGGCCGGAGCTTTCCACTTCTCAGAGGTTAGCAACTGTTCTAGTGTACTTCCTGGAAAAAGTTTTTGAGGCAACCTTGAAAGCAGGGTCTCTTTTTGCTGCCGCGCAGCTGAGAAAATCTGGCAGTCATCCACAGACAGAGACAGTGAGGTGAGCAGTCCAGATCCTGAATCCCCCCAGAAGGAAAGCCGTTGTTGCTGTTTCTTAAACTTCAAATCTCCCATTGTACCTGACAGATCTGTGTCTTAAATATGCTGTCTTGATCGCCACCTCTCATAAAGCTCTGGTATCCATGGCAACCAGCCTGTAACACAAGAGGTTAAATATAACTTCAGATTTCCGGGAAACACAATTTTTTAAATTACGCTGGCTTTGAAGTATGTGACATTGTTCCTGTAGAACAACAGTTTGTCACTGAAGGTCCACAAATTACAAACATCAGGCCATCAGGGAATCTTTTGAAAACTGTCCTTTTGGGGGCCGAAGGCAGAGGGCAGTTTTTCTCTTCAGAGTCTCAGGTTTGTGAGCCTGAGAAGGCTGAGACATAGTGGAATATTCTAATTTTAATGGACTATCTTTGGGGAAGGCATTTTCTGTCTACAGTTGCTTATGCGCATTTCTAAAACATCAGTGCAAAAATCCTTAATTCCCATTTAAGCATTCCCAAGCCTAGATGGCTTCAGATCTCCAATTGTCTTTCAGTAATCCTCCAATTCCTCCCGTGGCTCTGGAGCTTTTCACGTCCCATCCAGGTCTGCTGACCTGTTGCTGGGCAGTTGGCCTAGTCCAGTGGTGGCGACCTGTGGCACTTGTGCCACAGTGGGCCGTTTATCAGTGAAAGCTCTAACAGGTTCGCTATCATTGGCCTCGTCCCTCTGGGCTTCTCCGCCTGCCTTTTCCTATCCGTTGTAGCAGTTTTCAAAACAATGATAATCGACTGTAAACATCGTGATAAAAGTTAAAAACAAAAAAAAGAAAGTAGTCACTCTCGGTGAGTGGACCTTGCAATCCATCCTCTATCCTATTACCCTAGTAATAAAGTATGTCTAATGTAAAAGCATACATAGAGCTAGGAATTGGATATACCAATTATCAAAGAGTCGGATAGCTTTCTTCCTGTCTTTATTATTGTTTTGTTTTGTTTTCTGAGACAGGTACTCACTGTAGTCCAAGCTGGCCTTGAATGCACTTTGTAGCTAGGCTGGCCTCCAGTTTGAGGTTGTCCTCCCGCCTCAGCCTCCCAAGTGCTGGGCTTATTGGCATGTGCCACCGTGCCTGACTGGGATATTTTTCTTTCTAAACTATATAATCATGTTTTGGCTTTTTGAAAATACTCTTTCCTGTTTTATCAGTATAACAGTTTTGATCTGGTATCATAATCATTACCTGTCATATGATTTCATTGCATATCAGCATCTGTATTCGCCTGCTCCTGTCATGACAAACACACTTAAGTCTTCAAACCACCTGAGTTTTATGATATATATGTAAAAGACTTTTTATTTTTAAGAATACTGGAAATTACTTTTAGGAAATTCTGTTTCCTTATTAACGTGAGATCTAATATATGGGAGAGGGACATTTTTAAAGTTCTGCTTTGTTGGGAGAAGGGACTAACATTTTTAAGAGTGTCAGAAATAGATGAAGCTTTCACTGTCAGTATCTATATCAGTATGGTTTTCTGTATATGAAGTAACTGTCGTACGAGAACTTTCCTGTTTTACTGGACATTTGCATGAAAAGGGGCAGAGTAACAGATGAGGGCCCCAATGATAGTGGAGGGCTGGTCTGGAAACTAGTGCAGTGCTTACTTAAGCAGTACACCTGATTTACATGTTCAGTATTGTAGTTATCTCAGAGTCCTAAAATATGGAGATAGGCTGAGAGGAGGAAGTAATTAATAAGAATAGAGACCTCTCAACCTGGGCCCAGGATATAGCTCAGCAGCATAAGCGCCAGTCTGGCAAGTGGAAGGTCCTGAATTTGATTCCTGGTACCGGGGGAAAAAAATCCAGAACTTTCAATCCAATAGTCACTATATGTTACTATTCTTTAAAGATAGTAACCTTAGAATTTAAGATAATTTGAAAATAGTTCTGTAAATCATCATATAATGTTATAATACAGCAACTATTTTCATTATTGGATGCTGTCTTATATTTTAATTTTAAATCAGCTATTACTTAACAGTCTGTGTTTGGGACACTGATTGATTTTCTTGGTGTTGTTGGTTTTTCTTTGTTGGCTTTTTGGGTTTTTTGAGACTGGGTCTTACCTTGTAGTCCAGGCTGGCCTGGAACTCAGGCAGTCCTCCAGCCTCAGCTCTCAAGTGTTGGGATTACAGGCGTGCACCATCATCTGTGACCTAGAACACTGATCTTTCTCCTGGATGAATTGCAGCCCACACATTTTAGCTACTTGTCAATCTACTGCACTATTAGTAGTAGTAAGAGAAATTGTACAGCCAGCTTTCCAGTATTGTAATGGAATAATTTTTGGAGTTCAGTTCTCTCAAGTAGTTACATCATCATAATGAAAAAGATTCACTAAATTTTAAATATAGTTTCTCATAAGGCATTTGGCTTTAATTTTCCTGTCAGATTACGGCAGTTTAAACAAAACCTCACTGTAAAAATTTTACTGTTTCTCCAGCCAAGCAAAGTTGGCTTTTAGAAGTATGTGATTTAGTTATTTTATATTTTATTACAGAATTTTTTCCCTAGTACAGATCGTAATAGGGCAGTAGAACTTTCATACAATTCAGCTTTATACTTTTTGTTGTTGTCTGAGACGAAGTTTCACTATGCAGTTAAGCTGTCTTCAAACTGGCAGCAATCCTCCTGTCTCAGCCTCCCGAGGGCCGGGATTATAGGCGTGCACCACCACTCCTGGCCTTTTACACTGATCTTTGAAAAAATTTTATCATTACATGTTTGCTGTATGTAATGATGACATTCATCCTGGGGAGAATACTGATTTAGATGTAAATCAAATATCTAAACTACTTAAGTGGAAATTTTTGTATGTGTGATACTGGGGACTGAACTCAAGATCTAGAGTGGTAGGCAATTGCTCTCCACTGAGTGCCCCCAGCTGGAGTGGACACACTGCCCACTGTGACTTTCCAGAGGGAGGTGCTGCTCTTGAACTGCATTTACACCTAGCATGCTGCCCAGGGGCTCCCAGGATGCTGATGAGGTTAGACCTAAGAAGGGCTTTCTTGTCAGGTATATAATGAATTTCATAATAAACTCATTATCTTCTCTTTCTATAATTGTCTTGGTATAGTAGTAGTTTGTAAGCTCTTTTTAGCTGTTTTATCAAAGGGAAGATTATTGGGGAATTCAGTATGTGAAGTCAATACAGCCAGAGCTGCTCCAAGACATGGAGTGTTTCCTGAGTTCCGTCACCCAAGACTGATTCTGGCTCTGTCTCTCACATGCTTGTGAAGACGGAGATGCTGTGTAGTCTGCGGTAGCAGAGTGGGCGGGTAACTCGAGGTTTCTTTCCTTTTTCCTTTTTATCGGTACCAGGGATCGAACTCACGACTGCCTGCTTGCAAGGCAGGCGCTTATGCCGCTGAGCTAAATCCCCAGCCCCCGAGGTTTCTTTCCAATCTAGTGCTTTTCTTGTCTGTACAATGGGAGGTGGTACTGGGACCTCTTGCTAGGTCACTTCTGGATGGGATCCAGGCAGACGGATGCATTGAGTCTCTGGAGTCCTCTTTGGAAGGCTGTTTCTGACCTCAGTCAGTTAGATGATGTTTGTTTTTCAATTCTGGAAGAATTATTTCTATGTTTAAAGTGAGCTTTATCTGATTACTTTCAGAGTTAAATTCCTGCAAATCTCCATGTGAGCTTTTATGATTACAGGTGTTTTCTAGAGTAGTAATGAATAACATAAGGAATGGCGAATTGAATTTTTGGTTTGGATTAGAATTCTGACCTGAACATCTTTATTCCTCAGGTAGTTACTGTTACTCTGCGGTGTCCAAATGGGAGACTCCTGAGGAGAAGGTTTTTTAAGTCTTGTAGTTCACAGGTAAGTGAGAGAATTGGTATTTTGAGGAATTTTTTCCCCATTACTGAAGATCAGACCAAGTTCTTGCACATGGAGCTCCATTCACAGCCTTGTTATTTTTTTAAATCTTGAAGCAGGGCCTCAGTCAGTCACCCAGACTGGGCTCAAACTTGCAGTGCTCTTGCTTTAGCCTCTCAGAATACGAGAAATCACAGGTGTGTGATAAACAGGACATCTGCAGGTATTGTTACAGAGGTTTGGAGGAGGAATGGTCAGCTGCTCTGAGTTGTGATCTTTGCCTTCAAACTTTGCTAAGTTCTTCACTTTAGTATAATTTGTTTCTCTTTCTTTCTTTTGTTTTTTTTTTTTTTTTTCCTGGTACTGGAAATTGAAATTTTGGGCAACTGCTCTACCACTGAGCTAGATCTCAGACCTTTTTTATTTTGAAACAAGGTCTCGCTAAGTTAACCGGGCTGGCCTGAGCTTGTGATCCTCCTTCCTCTGGAGTAGCTAGGGTTACCCCATACCCATCTTTATCATCTGTGTGTCTGCTGGCATCCTGGTCTCCTGGCTCTGACCAGAATCTCCCATTAAGCTCAGTTTACAGCATTCCAGGGCCACTTCAGTGACCATCTCCAGACCTTTGCAAACTCCTCCCAGGGGCTTCTCAGACACGTGGTGAGGTGGTGTCACAGTAACAAGCCCACTTTTCTAATACCAAAATCTCTCTAGTCACTTGCTTGTTACTGAAGCACAATACCTGATATCCACAAATTAAAGGAGGGATGGTTTCTTTTGGCTTACAGTTGGTAGAGGTTTCAGTCCATAGTAGGCTGACTAAAGCTGGTCAGCATGGCATGGGGATGGTACAGGAGAGCTGCTCACAGCATGGGATACAGAAAGTAGAAAACATTATTTTCCTTTAAACTGTGAAAAGTTTCTTGGAAAGATGTGGAAGTTCTGCTCCATTACTCCTGGGCCATATCACAATGTAAAAAATTAGAGTGATCCAAAGGAACACAAATGTGTATAGCATTTGGTAACGATGAGCTTTTATCTTCTAGGTTTTATTTGCCTGGATGATGAAAATTGGTTACCACACATCCCTACACAGCCTTTTCACTTCTTTTCCCAGAAGACTTCTAGAAGTGGAGGGTAGCTGCTCACTGGCCGACATAGGAATTACTGCGGATACTCTGCTCACTGTGGAAGAGAAAGAAGAGAGCAGCTAGTAAAGAATGAGGAACTACCTGTTCTGCATAGAATCGCTTACACTGTGACCTAACAGTACAGTAACAGATTCATGTTAAAATCATGCTTGGCAGTAAACAGTAAAAGGATTCTTCTCTGCATGTAAATTTTGGGATGTGCCGTCTTATACCAAATAAGAACAGGAAACAGTGTATACAAGGAGGCACTCAATTTATATTTCTTTCCATCTGCCATCATTTCTCAGTATGTTACAAAACAAAGTCATAGGACTTTGGTTTCTGTCTCTCTGATCCTTCTTGACCACACAGTAGTTTACAATTCATTCATGCGTTTCAAAATAAGAAAAATAGAAATCTTCATTCTACAGTATTTTTAGAAATTAAAACCTGAAGTTCTTTAATGCTTTACTGTTCTTTTGAAAGGCACATACTACTATTTACTTAACCAAGGTCTGCAATGTATGATTTTATGTTGTATTAATTGCCATATTTACAAAGTTCCAAGTGGAAAACTGAAAGCATTAAAGCATTGGTGAATATTTTAGAATGTCTCATTTCCTTTTTACGCTCATAAACATATAATAGCACCCTCATGCACTGCAATTACCATGTTCAAACTCTGAGAACAAAAGGCTATTAACTTTCTTGTACTCATTTTTCCTCCATGCTTAACCCGTTCCTTTTGTTCACTGACTCCTCTGATTATGAATTAGGAAAGCTTTTCAAAACCTTATAAGTAAAAATAATTAAAAATCTCTCATAATCCAGCACCCAGAAATAAGCATTTCTGGCATAGAGACTGCAGTTCAGGCCAATAAGCTTAAGTGAAACTTCATGAGAGCCCTTTGGACCACCTGGCTAAAATGCTCCCAGAGGGTTCTCAAGTGTCAGGATTTGTAAGATGTAAATGTTTTGGGCAGCTGCGGTTTGAGCTGGTTTGTAATGTAACAATATATAACATAAGGATTTGGGTGCTGATCAGTGAGGTGCTGCCATAATACAATTCTAAAATGTAGGAGTGACTTTCGGGGAAGGACTAGGCTTCAAGAAGTGTTAGTGGAAGTCTGAAATGTCTTGAAACTTAGATAAAAAGCTAACTGCCCGATAAAGTTGCAAGAGAAGACTTGTAGGAAGATGTTACTGGCTAAACAGTAGGAGAAAGTTCAGAAAAGCTAACGGTTGTGTGGGAAATGGAAAATGTAGCTAATGAATTAATCTGGCTAAAAATGCATTTCCTACCAAAGTGGTGAAATTGCCACTTCTGCTTAGTGCTTACAGTAAAATAAGAGGGATGAGCTAAACAAAGGATTGTTAAAAAAGAACCAGGGTTCACCTAGAACAACCAGCCTCCATTTGACGAATAGTGTTAAAACTAAGAAATGGGTTCAGAGCAAAGATCAAACCCCAGGAATGCTGAGGAAAATTTCAGTTAGAACTGAGAGTAAAAGTATGCTTATAAAATCCTTTGTTTAGCCCTGAGAAGTATAAAAGGTAATACCACTGAGGAAGGTTTACAGAGGACTCAAAAATTTTTTTTTGTCTTTTTCCTTTTTATCGGTACCGCCTGCTTGCAAGGCAGGCCCTTATGCCGCTGAGCTAAATCCCAGCCCCCGAGGACTCAAATTTTTAAAAGAATTATATTACCTGGTGGGTGTGATGGCATCCAAATATAGTGCCAGGTACAAGGGACTGCTGAAGCAAGATCACTTCAGCTCAGGAGTTCAGAGAAGACCTAGGCAGAAAGACCTTGTTTCTAAAATTAACTATAAAGAATATAATCACATCAGTAGGAATGTGGTCAACTTTTAAGTTTTCCAGAAGAGAGGAGAGCCTTTATAATCCCAAAATTCCCACGTTCCTCTGATGATGAGAAGAGCCAAGTTCATATCAGGAAAGAAGCTTGACAAACTCCTCCAGAAGCACCAACACCAGGAGAACCAACTCCCTCTTCAGTTCATCTTGACAACAATCCTCAGGTGGACCATCCACAGCCAGCCCTGTACTGATTCAGTTCAGCTGGTACTACAAGTTGACCACTAGTTATCAGTCCACCCCAGCCACCGAGCTACACCTCTGTCCTCATTTTCAACAATTTTGAACATAGATATCCACGAGAGTTTCATGTCTGTTCCATGATGGTATGCTGGATGTGGGGAGTGGCCCTAACTCATTTCCTGTTAGGCATGCAGGTTATGAGCTGTGTTTGTGAGCTGTATCTGGGGCTGCGGGTGTAGCTTAGAGCTGGAGATCTTACCTAGTATGTGTTAGGTCCTGGGATCAGAGGGAGGATCATACCCTAGGAGCCTCTCATTTGTTCCCAGACTTAGGTAATAAAACCCTGAACTTTTGAGCTCGTGCTTTAATGGCATGAAGCTTCTGTCTTTAGGAAGCTTAGGAATCAACTGGGGGTTAGAGGGCAGCCAGAGAGCCTGCATACAAGATAACCCCTAGCAATCACTTTGTGCTGACCCTGCATTCTACATACCAGGGTAGTTGTCTGTGACCAGCAGAACTAACATGAAGTAATGGTGTGTCCCTTCTTCAATGATTATAAAGGACTGCATTTCTCTCTGCCTTTGTCTCTGATTGCTTACTCCAGTAGAAACCATGTTGTTAGCACCCCAGTGGAGAGATCACATACCCAGAACTGAATCTTTAAGCCAACATACCTGTATTATTAACAGCTAAGTTAGAAATGTAACAGACAGAGACTGGGACCTTGAGTCAGTGCAGAAGACCCACCCAAACTGGCTAACGGCCAATCTGAAGACAGCCAGGCAAGCCTCAGGATAGAGATTCAATATCCAGGCTTACAAGCCTCCCTGGAGGTAAAGAACAGCTGGATATTATACTGTAGTTAGCACCACCTGATCCAGCGAGCCCAGCCAGGCATCAGACCCATAGGTGGGAGACCAGAACACTGAATGCACACTCCCATCCCTTTCCAGGATGCCTCTGTTCTCCAAGAAATTATAATGAGCTAAAGTTAATGATGAATCATGCTCACATATAACCTTGCTGTGTGCCTTGCTTCCCTGTTGGATCAATATTAGCTAAGCAACTATACTTTTAATCCTATAGGTTGATTGTAGTTCAACCCATGTTGTGGTTTTGCTGTATAAAATACCCCTCCCTAACAAGAGTCTTAGTGGCCATCTACTTGGGGCCTTTCTTGGAAATCCAGAAGCTAGTCTTTCCAATAAAACTGAGTCTTTTCCTTTGGTTTGCAACTTTATTCCTCAATGTTGTAAGAAACATGAACTCACACATTCGATAGCTAACAGGTTGGAAGTTGTTTCCCCATCACACCTAAGTGTGTATGGAGTTAATCCTCCAGCCCCAGGCATAGCTTCAGACACTGCAGTCCTGGCTGACATCTCTTCTTGTTATTGTTGCTGTTGTTTGAGACATCATCTTGCTAAATGGCCCAAGTCAGCCTTGAACAGCCTCTCTTGCATCCAGCACAGCTTTTTAAATTCCCAGGAGGATGGTGGCGCATGAAGAAATGAAGATGAGTCAGAATACAGGAAGCTGAGGTAGGTGGAACCCCTGTCCTAGTGGGGAAAAAGAACTGCCCAACAACTGCAATGCATTTATGTAGGTGGAACCCCTCGGCCTAATAACTTGTTTACCTGGCTTGCCTTGAGTACCTTGTGTTCTGAGGGCCGGACAAATTTGTTTACATGGCTTACCTCAGCACACCATGTTCTCTGGGCTGGCCTTGCTCTAGTACCATACGTGTGATCAATTCCCAGCTCAGTCGCTTCCCACACCTCCCCCTTTTTTGTTTTGCAGTTGCAAAGGATGGGTGGTCAGTTGCAGTTGGAGGAGCTGTGTTTGGAGGATTCTGCAGAAGACCTTTTTTATGGAAGACTTTTCTTCTCCAATGTTCCTTCGGTGTCCCCAGCCAAAGTTTTTCCTATGAAGGCTTCTTCTTAAACCCTTTCCATTCTGAGAGAACTTACTCGCGTAGGCTAAAGATTCTGAGTCCAAGGATTTCAGGTTCTTCCATTCAGCAGTTTAACCATATATAACCCACTAACTCATAACTCATAGAACAGGTTATGGTCCCAAATGACTGGAATTGAATATTTAAAGGATGTTTAAGTCTAGGGGGTTGTTTGTTGTGGGAGACTGAGACAAAATACCTGATGCACCAAGTTGGGAAAGGAAAGTTTTATTTCTTAAAGTTTTTGGAGGTTCAGTCCATACTCAGTTGGTTCCAAGGCAGGGTGGCATGGTGGGGCCACAGTTCACAGCAGCTGCAAACAGCAAGGAGGAAACCAGCAAAAGCAAGACACACCTTCTTCCTGCCTTTACATCACATTCTGGCTCCACCCCTATGTGGGTGTAGCACTCACACCATCAATCCAAGCACTAGACAATGAGCCAATCACAGAGGTGTAATGTAAATGCATGAGGCCTGGGGGCCACCAACATAAACCATGACAGGAGGGAAATTTTTTGATTTGTGATTAAATCAGGCCATTTGCAATGCTACTCACAATGTGGCCATTATGAAAGACACATTAACAAGAGAAGGTGGCTTTGCTGTCACAAATAACTTACTTTTAAGTTGCTATAATATGAACAAAATAGCTGCCTCAAGGGCTTGGAAGGAACTTCCATTCACTAGGGTCCTGACGAACGTTTTCATGATTTTGTGGCATGGGTATCACAGACCAGTGGGAAAATTATTAACAACACACAGGCTGTTCAACAACTGGCCTTTGAAAATGCAAATAAATAGTAAAGAGGCTTTACAGGCCCACAAAAAATGAGCCCATTTCCTCAGCATTCCTAGCCCGTCAGAGATGATTCAAATTTGCACAGACATTATACCCTCATGTTCAGGGGCCTCCACGGCAGCAGTTATGACACAGGCTATTCATCCACGGTCTGAAGGAAAGGGAAGGAACAAGGTAACTTGTGTCAGCTACAGAGATGGGGGACATTTTTCCCAAGGTTGCTCTGCTGCACCTGTGGGGGCAGGACCACCACTATCCTTTCAACGAAGCCTTCAAGTGTCTGTTCAAAGGGTAGATAAGGGTGTCATTGAGCCCCTCAGTGAAGATCTAAGACTGATGTGCAAGGCCAAACTATTCTAGTAACTTCCAGCAGGGTCTGCCCCAGTGCTGCCAAACAGTAAGGGGCACTTTTCCTATTTCCAAGATCGTTATTTAATACTCTCTAAACTGTCATTCTGTCATGCCATGTCCCCTGTTCTCCTTCCCAGTTGCCAGGGCCTCTCACTGAGGGAAATACAGCAGTAGACAAATTGCTGGCTACTGTCACTGTGACTCTCTTCCATGCCATTCCACAGGCTTCTGCCTCCCATACCACTTTCCACCAAACACTTCTGTGTTATACAAACAGTTCATTTTAACCCAGCAACAGGCTGGACAAGTAGTTCAACAGTATTCCTTATGTGTAATACATCTTCATGCCCTGTGGGCATTAATGGATTAAATTTTTGTAGTTATGACAGTGGGGCTGACAGGGAGGAGGATAAAGAGGAGGGAAGGGAAGAGACTCATCTCTAAAGAT